AAAATAAATGAAAGAAAAGCCGTTTACGTGAGCACCGCAAGGTCACGTGTGACTTCGGTTTACCGTGTATCGACTTGGGACGCGTAGATCATTCAGAAACGATGTCATGCGGGTCAAATATCGATTATTTCGGAGTTTCGAGCATTTATTTAGAGAAACTTGAGTTCACGTAAGCCATTAGTAGAAAAACGAGGTGTACATTTTCTTCATATGATATCATTTTAATATTAAAAAAATTACAAAATGAGATTATAATACATCAATAAGTAAAAAGCACACAATTATTTAGCATAATAAATGCATTTACTAATACACATTATACAATAACAATAAAAATATTTTTCTTGGATAGAAAAATAATTCAAATATATTTTATTAATTTTTATTTCAAATCATTTGCTATATATATGAATATTATCTAAGTAAATTTCTTGAAAGAAAAACAACCATTTACGTGGGCCCCGCAAGGTCGCGTATGACTTCGGAAGATATGTCGTTTGATCTTTGGTAGATACGTCGTTTGAAGAAATAACAAATAATTATGTCTAGGAATAAATATTTTAAACTACGCCATTGCACATAACACAGACCGTACATTTTTTGATAGTACCACCTTCTACACACCTTTAAAAAAGAAAAGACAATTCTTTTAAATACTTTGAAATATATAAATAACGCAACAATTCACACAATTTCAGAAGTACGCGACGACAATCAATTTCCTCTCCTTTTCCTTCGCCCTGCCATACGTCGTTCTTCGGCCCACGTTAACAACTTGGTTCAATTTGCGAGTGATACGTTCATGTCTCGCTAATATTTCACCTGGATATGGGTCAAGTTGTAGGGGTTCAAAAATTATTTTCAACGATTCCCACAGAGGCTCCAGATTGAGGCTGCAATAATGTTTGGCTAATGCCCAAATTTGAAAGAATATGATTTACGAGATTTGCACAGTCTACCAATATAAGATATTTATATAAGAACTTGAAAAATATAAAATATGCGAAACAAGCAATAAGGAATTGTTGTACACTTTCGGCATACCTCAAATGCTTCCTCACGATCATCCTCCTCAAGATAAATGATTTTTGCATGTATGTCGAAAACACCCAATGGATGTTTCATAAAATATTTAAAAGTTCGATAACTTTCTTTCAATACCATGAATGTGGTATAACATTCTTTCAAAGTCAAATTTTGACCAATTTCATCCAGGCAAGTTCGATATATCTATCAAATACCATATATACGTCAAACTCCATGTTTAACCCTTCTAACTGGATGTAATGTAGAAGGATGGTACAAAATGATTCCTCAGCTGGATGAAGCCATTTGTTTGAGAAGACTTCTCGTATATAGCGGAAATGTTCTTCCTTTGTATCTGGCAATGATAATCCCCACATGATTGTAAGGAACAAATAAATAAATTAATTTCGTTTTGCAGTGGTGATGCTTTGACAAATAAAGGAAACCCATGTATGTGTATATATATATATATATATATATATATATATACACGCAAATTTTTGGTGATAATGAAATTGGAAAAAAAAAACTTTGCATGTTGACACCCCATTCCTCTACATACAAAGTGGTGAACAACACTGCCATTGCCCATGCCTAGTCACGTGGTAGGAGAGTTTTTTGTGATTATTTTTTTTATTTTTGTTTCCCTGTATTTTTTTTCTTTTTTTTTTCTACATCAATCATCATATGCAGTAACTTGTATAATTATTATTGGTATATAATATGTACTCCCTCTTTTTTTTTTTAAATGTCGTTCTAGCCTTTTCAGACATTTGCCAAATAAATGTCGTTTTGGATATTTTGTACATATTTTTCCATTATTACCCTCATTTAGCCAATAAAAACATTACGTCTTTTCATATTCACTCTTCACTTTTTCTCAAATCATTCATCTCTATCTTCATTAAATAAAGTTATTATTGACAAAAAAATATTCTTAATTAGTGTGCAACTTCTCAAAACGACATATATTAAAAATAGGAGGTAGTATATAATAATTATTTTGATACAAGAATTATAATTATCAAGTTCCAAAGCAAATATTATGAATTTATAATCACATTGATTATATGTAATTAATACATATTATCGGCTTTTTCATTAATACATAATAATTTTTAAACAAAAATGTACGTATGTACTTGTGTACGTCAATTATCGCAAATATGTATTATGAATTAATCTGTTCGTTGAACGTGGAATAGAAGTGAACAAGTATCCGAATATAAATTTTGTGTGTAATAAAAAAAATATACGCGACAGATAAAATTTTTTGCTGTAATAAAAATTTGAAATTCATTACATCATGATGAATTTTATAAGTGCTACAATAATTAAGAACCCAATCACCACCAAATAACCCTAAACACAAAATGGGCATGCATCTTCAAGGAGTGACGGTGTCTCATTAGCACTGTTCGTCAGAACATGTGATGTGCTTGAGTAGTTGGACCCACAAGTGGTATGACGGCTAGTATGTGAATTGTACTGCGAATTACAATGTTTGAGCAGTTTTCCTTTCAGAAAAAGAGCAATTACTATCGTTTTCCCATTAAAAGCTTCCTGGGTGTTTTATTCCTTCTGGGCACCGATAAAAATACCTACCATAATTTTTTCTGTTTTAGCCATAAAACGATACATCCGGCCACGTCTGCATGAACAAAAGTGTGGGTGAGAGACCATGATGAATTTTATGTTTTTTTTTTTGAAATAATGATGAATTTATGTGAATTTTCTGTTTGTAGAACACACCCCTTTTATAGAACCCAATTTTTTTTTTTGCCCTCACTATTTTTTCTCCTATGACTTCCCGCTAATAACACTCCCACTTTCTCTTTTTTACAACTACTTTTTGACCAAGCAGGCACATTTATATGGAGACCGTCCCAGCAAATGCCCACTCCCTTTGCACATTGATAAAAAGGGAGACACCTACATGCTATTGCCCATTCCTTGCTGCACATTGATAAACGAAAGAAGCCTGCTCTCTTGCTGTCTTGCGTGATGTACATAGCATGGGACAAAAGAAGAAGGAATATAAAAAAAAAATGTGAACGTTATCACAATTACAAACGATACCACATGCATTGCCATACTTGAGCCAGTGTTGATAAGACCTATCATAAAAAAGCCTGTATGTATTTTAAATGACATTTTTGTTTATTATGTATTAGTAAATGTATTTTTATGGTAAATAATTTGTGTAATGTATTTTCTATACTAAATAATTTTGTGCTTTTTATTTATTGATGTATTATAATTTTATTTTATATTTTTTAATATTAAAATAATACCATATGAATAAAAATTTACACAACTCATTTTACTAATATTTCCTTACATGAACAAAAACTTCTCTAAATAAATGCTCGGAACTCCGAAAACTCGATAAATATCCCGCATGACATCGTGCCTAAATGATCTACACGTCCCAACTCGATTCTCGGTAAACCGAAGTCACACAAGACCTTGCGGGACCCACGTAAACGGCTCTATTTCTTTCAAAGATTTTACATAGATAATATTCATAATAATAGCAAACTATTTGAAAGAAAAATAAATAAAATAATTTCTTTTTAAATATTTGTACACAAAAATAATTTTATTGTTATTGTATAATGTGTATAAGTAAATGTATTTTTTATGCTAATAAATATTTTGTATAATGTTATTTTTTATGATAAATAATTTTGTGCTTTCTATTTATTGACGTATTATAATTTCATTTTGTATTTTTTTTAATATTAATATGATAGGATATGAATAAAAATTTACACAACACATTTATTAATATTGGCTTACGTGAACACAAACTTCTCTAAATAAATGCTCGGAACTCCGAAATACATAAATGTCCCGCATGATATCGTGTCTAAATGATCTACACTTCCCAACTCGATTCTCGGTAAACCGAAGTCACACAAGATCTTGCGGGACCCAAGTAAAAGGCTTTATTTCTGTCAAAAATTTTACATAGATAATATTTATAAATATAGCAAATTATTTGAAAGAAAAATAATTTTTTTTTAATTTTTCAGTACACGAAAAAATTTTATTGTTATTGTATAATTTGTATTAGTAAATCTATTTTTTATGCAAATGATTAATTTGTATAATGTTATTTTTTATGCTAAATAATTTTGTACTTTATATTTATTGATGTATTATAATTTCATTTTGTACTTTTTTAATATTAAAATGATACCATATGAATAAAAATTTACACAACTCATTTTACTGTAAATAAATGCTCGGAACTCCGAAATACTTGATAAATGTCCCGCATGACATCGTGCCTCAATGATTTACACGTCCCAACTCGATTCTCGGTAAACCTAAGTCACACGTGACCTTGCGGGGCCCACGTAAACGGCTTTATTTCTTTCAAAAATTTTACATAGATAATATTCATAAGTATAGCAAACTATTTGAAAAAAAAATAATAAAATAATTTTTTTTCTCTACACGAAAAAATTTTATTGTTATTGTATAATATGTATTAGTAAATGAATTTTTTATGCCAATAAATAATTTGTGTAATGTATCTCCTCTGGTTTGTGCTAATAAATAATTTGTGTTATTATATCATTTGAAACGCGAAATAAGCCAATTCATAACTATAAAAGAATTGTCTTTGTTGCACATGGGTTATTTTGTACGACAATTTCATATGTATTAATTATCAGTGAACTTCTACTTTTTTGTCAGGTGTGTCGTAAAATGTTAAAAATTAACTGTGTCGTAAATTTTAATGAATTATAACTGTGAGTTAATAAAGAAAAATATAAAAACCTACAACAATATAAAATACGCGTTTTTTTAATGAATTTATTCATTTTAATTTTACTAACCAAATTTAATTAGGAGACAAGACAAGGCATACTTGTGTCGAAAGTCTCACAACAATATTAAAAGCCATAATAGTTGTCTTTAAAATTTGGAATACACTAGTAATAAATAAAACATAATAGCAACTACCAACGTTTGCCCCCTTGATCGGCCCATAAGGCGGAAGCAATCGAATCGCACAAACCAGACTGTTCACGCACACCAACATTAGATGTATCTAAAGTTGTCATCAAAGGCATTGTATGTTCATCTTCATCTGGTTCTGGTATGTAATCCGGGTTTAAAATGGCCAGCAGTACGTTCTCGAACTTTTGGTGCTCAAGGATGAAATTTTGTACAACACAACATGCGATGACTATGTTTGTGTGGAACTCAGTCGTGTAGTTTGGCATTAGGCCTTTTATAATGGGGAACTTACCTTTCAATATACCAAAGCTACGTTCGACCACATTACGGACAGTGGCATGACGTTTGTTTAAGAGCTCTCTCGAATTTTTAGGTGTTTGATTAGAGCGAATCAACTCCGGGAGATGGTACCTATCACCACGGTAAGGTGACAGGAATCCCGGGACATTGGCATAGGCTGAGTCGACCACATAATATTTTCCTAATATTCAAAGTAGTTGTGTTAATGAACCAATCTAGTAATGTTATTTTCACTTCCATATGAATAAAATTTTCTTCGCATATATACGAAAGGGGGAAGAAAAATAAAGACATACACTCTGGTGGCCACAGGAAAGTATTTGTGGGGTCTGTCAATGTTTCACCAAAAATACGAGAATCATTTGTACTGCCTTCCCATCCCGCTAAAACGTAAGTGAACTTGCAATCAAAGTCGCACGCGACCATAACGTTTTGGGACAAGTGACCTTTTCGACATATGTATTTCCCATGATCTTCTTCAGGAATCCAAGCCGGTATGATGGTTCCGTCGATGGCACCGATGCAATCCTGAGGTAAGAGAAAACATGTCATAAATTGTTGAGGTGATTCATGAAATACAATCTGATTATGCGTTTTACCTTAAAGTAGGGATATAGATATCGATTCTTTCATATCCATTGAGAAACACGAGTAAAATCCGGAGGACGTATGTATTTGGGAGCTAGTGTGCGAAGGGCAGTGATCATGATATGTACATGATTACTAATCGTCTCTGTAGATTATCGAAATGTCTCTGCAGCATGTCGATGTCTTTGGTGTCCTTTTATCGTATGCAAGAACACTGCAACACTTTCTTGGATACGGACCTTTTGCTGTATTGCATCACCATGACAACCCGTCTGTTTTATTTCTTTGCAAAGCAATTTGAAAACTTTCTTGTTCATACCCATTGCATCGTAGAATCTTCCATCGTGCCTCATGAGGAGTACACTAATCCAGTCCTCTCCGTTGTACGTGGAATGCCTATACCGGGATTCGTGTCATAGGCAGATTAAACTGAAACGCTTCATGAACATGCATAAGTTGTTGGCGTTGAAACTCCAGCATATTAGCATATTGTTGCAAATGAGATAAATGAGACGGCTGAACAACAACGTTGACATCTTCATCCATGTTGTCGTTTAATTGTCCACCGGCATCATTTTCAACATCATCGTAATCCTCATCTTCATCAATGTGCGACATCCTACAAATGGAGAATTTGTTGGAACTACTTTTCAAAATCAAATATTTTTTGTAAATGATTAAAACACAACATCAATGACCAAACTGAAATAACAAGTCATATAATATGATGTAGAAACATAATCAATGTCAGCACAAATGCATACAAAAAAAAAAGAAAAAAAAAACACACAAATTCATCAAGGTTCAAAGTAGCAGGTATTAGTTCTACTGAAATTATGCAATAGTTTGCAGGGCAATAAACATCAGCCCTAATTGCCTTCATCTTCCATCCACATATCTAGAAGGGCACGCCGGTTTTCTTCCATTTACATTCCAAGAAATGTGTATAGGCTACACGGGTCACGAAACTTCCTCCAAGCAACCTTTCGAACCGCCACAGGAACACCAGGCAAGGACTCCAGCACCTTTACAGCATGTTGGAGGCTTGTTTGATCAACTGGTGGACGCGCGTTTTGTTGGATTGTGCAGCTTGCTTCAGTAATAGAATTCATGGCATTGTCGAATTTGGAATTGGAACCTTGACGGCGACGAGTGCACCTGTCACTGTCTGGGGTGTTCATTGGCATCACTTAACTCGTCGGGAAACAAGAAGTTGGCAGTCACTGCGGTGTTGGATCTACGACGCCTGCTTGTTTCTTCGGGTGGCTGTGTAGATGCCCTTGCACCGCTACCAGTTGCCGTGTTTCCGATAAAAATTGTGATCAACTCACGATAGTGCACGCAAGCCATCCTCTTCATCTCCTTGTCCTTTGGACGCACCTATTTTTGGAAAACCGTAGACCCATAAGTTTTTTTTTAATGAAATGTAAACAAAGAAAGGAAACCAAAAATATTTTTGTCACTAGGATACAGTTTCAATTTATGCAAATATTTTTATTTTTATTAATCAAATGTAACAAACAAAAAAGGAAACCAAAAATATTTATGTTAAGGCACCAGGATAACCACAGTTTCAATTTATGCAAATATATTTTTTTTTTTCAATATAATGTAACAAACAAAAGAAACCAAAAATATTTCTGTCAAGGCATCAAGTTAACCACAGTTTCAATGTATGCAAATAATTTAAAAAATTAAACTGGAGGTGAAAGTACAACTAGTCACAACAAACAAAAATGGAAGATCGAAGTCAAACTTGAGTATGAGACGTCTTCAATCCAAAAGTCGAACAGGTGGTAGAAGTGCGTTCGATTTCCCCATCTTCCCAAACCAATTTAGCTATTTGAACAGATGGAACAAATGAACTAACCGCGAACCACCGGCTCCAAACTTCATCACCGCCCGTGAGCTTCCCAGTCTTCGAATTCCAGCCGAACCCAGTTGTATTATGCAGCATATTGTGGAACCGACGCCACTTCACTTTCAACCGATCATGCTTGCTCGTGATTTGTGTTATCTCGCAATGGTGTTGTGGACCACACGCTTTGTTCAATGCTTTTTGAATATCCATCCAATTGCTTGTTTTGAAATTCTGGTTGATGCACTTCCCCAAGATGACTTCGTCCAACATCAACAATATGCACCGGGCCTCATTCTCCGGAGGCCACTTTGCTTCTCCTTCTTTAGGTTGCGTTAACCCACCTTCAGCCGACGTCGACATCTACAATGTTTCACCACACACAGCTCTTAGATAATAGGAAACATCTAGTCACAGCAAACATAATAGGAAACAAACAGGAAGCAAACATAATAGGAGAAAAAAAAAGAAAACAAATAAATGCATCAACCCCATACAAATCGACTTGCACGAGACACCACCAGCGGGCCTTTAAGCACGAAATTCAATCATTACGAAAGAATCATAATCTCAGCAGGCCCGACAGTGGAAAAGCATAAATGAAACAAAAGGTCCCAGCATCAAATTTTTTTAGCAACAATAATAACAGGTGAAATCCCTAATTAGTAGAATATAATTATTGAGAAAGATAGTTACTTTGAGGAAGTTAACTTATGGACCCAAGTGCACAATGTTCCCATGGATTGGCTAAGCAGGGATGTTGGGCTGAAGACAGGGCAGGTTTTCAAAAGAGTTCAGAATGTGGGTATTTCTAATGCAGGGGGATCAGGAGCCAGAATAATCAAGTTACTGGTATCGGTGATCATAAACAAACCACTCCCTCGTTTCTCCTCCATTAGATTGGGTGAGGAGATAGTCACAGTGACTTTCAAGTATGAGAGGCTAATTAATTTGTGCTATTACTGTGGCATGTTGGGCCACCTAGATAGAGATTGTAAAAAACTGGCAAGAGACATAGCAAATGGGGAGATGAAGGAAGGGCAATATGGTTCATGGCTAAAAGAAAGTGAAGCTAGATTCAACACCACATCTGGACAAAGCAGCAGAACCTCCGATCAAGGACCAGAAACTCCAACAGACTTCCATCAGTCCCCAGCTAACACCAGCAACACAGGAAACCAAGAATGCAGACTCCTCACTAATAAAGTTGACAGCCCAAGCCAGATTCAGAAGAACTCTAGTTTGGTTGAATCCAGCTCCTTAAGGCAAGAATTTGTCAATGGCCAGAGCACACCCAAATTTACAGAGCCTCAACTTACCACTCAATTGATTGACACACCAATACATGAGGAAATGGAATACATTAAGGCCTTGATTGTTTACGGATTAATTTGTTGAAAGTGAAATAACTGAGGAAATTCCCCTCTTCCATTCATGTAGAACTAGGTATTGATTTTCATAGATCCAATTTGTACCCTGGAGGACTTTCTGCATATCATCTCTACTTTCGAAGATAAATTGGAAGAAGTTGGATGAGATTTCAGGAACCTCCATTCCTTGTTGAATCCTCCATATGCCTATTAGGGTTCTTTTCAGTCCAATGAGAGATGCTCGGCCGTTGCCAATAATTTTACCAACTAAGCTTCTGCTACATTCCTCCGCACTAGTTTTAATGTCCTTATTTCCGATATCAATGACAAAACTCTCGTCGCCAGAAAGAGAGAACTTACTTAGGCGTGCCATTTCCTTCTCCAACCCTGGTTTATCTCCAGTCTTTTCCATAACAAAGAAAATAGAATTCTAGAAGTAACACCAGGAGATTGAAGAAAGGTAACTGAAATGAGATGGATTGGCCCTCAAAATAAGGAATCGACCCTTAGATGACGGAATTTGCCCTCACTTGATGGAATTTTCGCTCCCATCTGAGCGAATTTTTTTTCTATGTAGAATGTATATATAATACACACCCTTATCCAGGCGAGAATTTTTTTTGGAGGTAATTGAGAAGGAGATTCATAAGAATGTGGTAAGGTGGCTAATGCAAGTGTGAGCGTCCTGGTCCGGTTTGGGGTATATCGATTCTTTTCCTCGCCGGTAGAACGCCGAAAACCTGCAAGTAACTCTCACACCGGGGGTTGTGTCCGGTGAAGAGCCTCTAATGCTTAAGTCAGTATGTTTATGAGTATACTGGAATTGAGTAATGGAAAAATCGCCTGTTAGGAAGATATGCTCACCCCCTTTATATAGGAGTGAAATACCTGACCTAAGGCTGTTAGGAAGATATGCTCACCCAAGCTGCCCGTCCGTACTCTGACACGCCACACACATGTCAGAGATGGCGCGGGACGTTGGGAGCTGTCAGAGGTAGTTGTCGCTATCAACCAATAAGTTTTCGACACGTGTCCTCCTGCACATGGGATGAATATTCTTCTGACATTCCGTTAGAGGCTCTTTTACGCGCCTGTGACTAGGCCGGTCTATGCTATGTTAAGTCCACGAAGTGGTCGACCGATCGAGGTTGACTGAACTGCTCGACCGTTCACCTGGTCGAAGGATAGATTGGTCGACTGCTTAGCTGGTCAACTGGTTGACTGGTCGATTTTCCTATCACTCGACTTGGTTTCTTCACGGAATGGCCTCTTCGACCGGTTCAGCAGACCAGTTTAGCCTTGTGGGTATAATATCCTATATCATCTAGTCCCTCCCACTCTAGTCGAGTCTGGGTGACTCGACTAAGAGTGAATTTGTGCTCGTCGCTTTTTTGGATGGCCTGATGTCAGATATCGACCACCCAGTGAGTTTCCCGTTCATTTTTTCAATTAAATCTTCTTTGATTGCCAGTAATAAAGTTGTCTGTCCCACTCCTTTCTGTCGCGCCTGCTTTTCTGCCACGCGTCACACCTGTCAGCCACTTTAATTATTGCACCTCCTCACAGAACGCGCCCACTTTGGGCACCTTGCGAATTAATGCTCTCCACCGTAAGATTTGGCTTTAATCCAATGGCTCTCATCTTTCAACCCTTCAACTCTCCAAAGTATAAGTTCAATACTTGGCGAATTTTCTGAGTTTTTTCACCTTTGCAAATTTGAACTCTTTGTTCTCCAAAATTTCTCTGCAATCCTCGCTCTTCTTTCTCGGCGATTTCTCTTGCACTCTTCCAGCTCTCTTGATTTCCTCATCCGCGACTATGAGTAAGTTGTTCTTCTCTTGAATTTATGTTTCCTGTGTTTCGAATTTACCTGTTCTTTGAATATTCTCGCGTTGGGTATCCTGAATTTACTTGTTGAACTTTCTGGATTTGCGAGTTTTGCCCTGAATTTGTGCTCTGAATATTGTGATTTATCTGTTAATCGTTGCAAATTTTTATCTTCTCTACAAAAATCTTCTGAAATTCCTGTTCTTCCTCTTTAATTTCTTTAAAAACTGCCTTCCCATAAAACCCTAGTTTTTGAAAGTCTCACCTTTTTTGAAAGCTTTTCCCTTTTTTGATTTTGTTTTTTCTTGCTTTTTCCAGATCCTGCACCTCCATCTCCTTCTTTGACCACTTCCTCCGATTCAGTTCAGATCCTGCTCTGCCCTTGAAGCTATTCCTCTCTCCATTCTTCGCCCCGGCGAGACCGTTCCTACCCTCGTCTTTACAGCCCGTGTTTCCTCTCCCAATTCTGGGGATACTATGGACAACATTCCCCTCCACCATCGTTGACCGGCTTTTGGCTCGTTAGATGAGCCAGAGGAGGACGAGGTCAATCTCCGTACTTCCCCTCAACCTATTTTTTCTGTCTCTTCGACCATTCCTCCTTCTTCCTCTCAGACTATTCCCCCAAGTATCTTTGACCAAAAACCCCTGCGACACCTCCACGAAGCGCCCTTCTTCTACCTCCCTCTCCAACAGTTGGTATACATCTGAGAAGATCGGCCATCCCAGCAGTTGGGTGTTCTATAGGTCTTCTCCCTCCGACAAATACGATCATCCTCTAAGGGACTGCTTTAACTTTTTTGAAATCCAATTCAAGCTCGGCCTTCGCTTTCCTCTGTGCCCCGAACTGCTTTGCCAATGGTTCGGGCCTTCTCTATACCAAATCTCTCCAAATGCCATCCGTTTCATGACCACCTTCATCATCCTTTGCCACATTCGCCTAGGTCTATTCAACCTCGCCTTCTTTCATTACTTCTACTCCCCTTCCAAACAAGGTCGAGGCCTTTATCTGAAGAGCCGAAATGGTGCAC